CCTTAAAGCCGACTAAATTTGACGTGTCTCTGCGAGACACGTCGTGACCATGACCTCGAGGATCGCCCATCACGCGCATCGACATCCCCGTTTTGTGTACCAACAGGCAGAGAGAGAGAGAGAGAGAGAGAGAGAGAGATCCGATCGAACTCGTACGATCCGAATGCATTATGTAATTGACGGCTTCCGTTTTCTTTCTCCATATCTGGCGGAGAGGCCTCGCTCGCGCGCCGCGTGATTTTTGAAAAGCAAAACAGCCGTGGGTGGCCGCCTCTACACCTCCGCCTCGAGAATTAAGGATCTAGGAGTATGGAGGAGAATCGTATTTGAATATCGCGTTTGAATCCGCTATCGAACGATTCTCCACCACGATTGTAATCCCGGTCGGATTTAAAGAGACCATAGAGAAGGAAGGCATCGCGTCGCGTGATGGTTTAAAATACTGCTGTAACTACTCTCAGCTGACAGATCGTACGTCATACTTTATAATGTAATTACTTTCGCTCGGTCTGATTTCTGTCGACTGCGATTAACTGCGTTCGAAAACCGATATTGATCCAATTTTTACGATATTACAACAGCGAGGATAAGTCGCGATTAAACGTACAAATATAGGAGAAATCGAGAAGATTACGAGGGATGCGTTTGGATTTTGCGAGGAAAAAAAAAGGAAGAAAGGAAACAACGAAGCGATTGGATCGGCGCGCAAGGTGGCAAGCCGAAAGGGATGTCCCCCCGATCTGATGCAACCACGTTTTAACGATCGAGCGAGCCGAAAACAGGGGGGAGGGGGGAAGGGGGGAATGGAAAAAGCTCTCGAAGGCGTCCACGTGTATCGAAGACAACTATATCGCAAGGTTCCGTCGAAACGGAATGACGAGAAAGGACAATTAGCAAGTATAATCAGTCTGTCAGCTGACCTATGACAACGTAACCCTGTCATCATTCTAAGGGCATGGCGCAATTTGGTATAAATTATCGAACATTCACGCGCGCGCGTATCGGATCGAGGCATCAGCAAGTATAATGAACTATCCAGCCGACCTATGACAACGTGTCGTCCTGATGAAAATTCGTCAACTTTGTTGAGCGAAGGGTAACACCAATTCGAAACGTATTTAAAGAAATTTTCGCGCGAAAAATTCGAACGAATTCGCGAATAAAAATTCCACAAATTTCGCCAATTTTTCTAGGATATATATATATATATTTTTTACGCTGGATTCATTCGGAGTAGAAAGAGATTTCGCTCGAAAAAGGGAAAATGGTGTGGTGGAGAAAATCGATCGAAGAGAAAATTAATCGTAAACGGAAGGGTTTATACGCGACTGCGAGCAACTTTGTCGCAAGTTACGGAAAGAAGTTGCTTGGCCATTAC